TCAAAAAATGTTTAATTGCATTTTAATTGCAATTGCACATCTATAAATTTATTTGCCAAAAAAATTGATAGTTTCCCTAGAAAAAAATCGTTTTCAGACTTCTAAACCACCCTGTATAATAAAGACCCTGGCCGATTTTCAGACGCAACCCTAAATACATTCTCAGATGACCATGCATTACTTGATATACTGTTTGAAACTTTTCAAAGTTATGAAGCTATCTGCGATAGCTTTGACAGTTTTAATAGCTTGGACTCCTACGGTGTACATGTTAGTTTTTTTGTCGTTTGAATACATTTCGAATTCAAAGGGAAATAAAAGTGGAATTTTTGACACTGTCAAATTTAATGCATGACATATCAACAATCACTTTGATTTAAAATTAATAATTTAAATTTTGCGTCTGAAAATCGGTTTATTATAAATGACTCATCCTGTATAATTATACTACTAGAGAAAAATGCTATTATTTTTTTGGTATTTTGTACGGCACCTCAAAAATAATTGTGCATTTGTCTCCCTTTATATACGATATACTATTTTTGTATTTTTTTGATTAAACTGAACCTTCCAAAACTTTAATAAAAAACTGTCTAAATAAAAGCAATGTGTTAATGACATCGAGTTTAGTTTCCCATTGTGTATTGTGTGACATAACACGATTTGTTAAGGGAATATAATAATGACAGTTAGGATCATTAAAGAGCTTAATTACTGCGGTGACATTATGCTATTATGTGAACAGTTGTTAAATTGCTGTACTGTGCCCATTTCCTATTCCCCCCTAGCCACAAAACACTTTTCTTATACAGTATGTCCCCGTATGTTACAAGAGGAAATTTTTTTTATCTTTGATTTTACGCCAAAACTGCAAAGGAAAAAAAGTTTTTGCTTTACTTGAAACCAGGTAATCTGTAATTAAAACTTCATTATTCTAACTCAGTAGAAAGAAAAGTTCATTTTTCTCTTGATTTTGGACTTAATTTTCCTCTGCTTTTTAAGTCTTATCACATTGGCGGTTTTAATTATTTGACAACTATATGTCACTTTGACAATTAATTTATTAATTAAATAATGATAGTTCTTGTTAAAAATGACTGGTTTTTACCTTAAAGCTGTTTCTTTGAGTTGCTGTTTATTAAAATTATGTTTTTCACAAACATTTTTGTTATTTAACTTGCGTAAACTTATTTGTCAAAGTGACATACAGTTTTCAAATAATTAATACCGCCAATGTGATAAGACTTAAAAAGCAGAGAAAAATGAACTTTTCTTTCTACTGAGTTAGAATAATGACGTTTTAATTACAGGTTTGCTGGTTTTAAGTAAAGCAAAAACTTTTTTCCTTTGCAGTTTTGGCGTAAAATCAAAGATACAAATTTTTTTTCCTCTTGTAAACTCAATCCGGGGTCATACTGTAGATAATGAATTCGGAAAATATATTTGATTTTTGTGACCTGGAAATTCTGCTGACAACACAAATAAATATTTGTTTTGATTAAACGAAAATGTCTTAATTGCCTTTTTTATTTCGGTTCATAACGGATTATTTTAATACAAAATTTTATTTATAGCAAACTGAATCACGCAATATTTAATGGCTTAGTAAATTAGCATTTTTATTGGTGTGATAGAGAAAAATTTCATTAAATATGTTTTAAAATTTATGATTTTCCGTGTATTACCGGTTCACTTAGCACCCAGATCCGCGTTTCTGTCGTATCTCCAGGGTGAAAAACGAGAAAATGGAAAAAGGAAATGTTAATTGCTCAATCTTTCAGTCTCGACGAAAAAAATTACGATTTTTAATGGAAATGGTAGCGACTTAATTTGTGAGAGATGAATTCGAAATAACATCAAGGTGCAAAAATTTGTTTTGTGATTGGATGTCAAAGCTCGTTTTAATATAAACAGCAATGACTTTTTTTTCAATAACAGGAGCAATATATCGATTTTATACGCTATCTGTTTCACAGCCTGTTCATGTGAAGCTTTCTGTTATAAAAGCCGTGTAATTCGCTCTAATTAAATCACTAGACGGTTATGAATCTATGCGTGAATATCATGGTTTCAGGTTAATTGCCGGCGGAAGCGTTGCAACGTTTCAGCCCCAATTTTATTTCACTTAAATAATTCAATATTGCCAAATTAAATTATACAGGATGTCCCATCGAGTTGAAAAAGTCCATTAGTGACTTTTACTACTAATCTAGTGCATCACCTAAAATTATTTTTAACCATACAGCATGTCCCAAAAATAAGTTACGATACAAACTTGTGTTTTTTTAAATGAAACACCGTATATTTCTTTGCATTTTTGGATGTAGCCTTTTAAAACAATGTTTTTACGCTAAACTTTTATTAGTCGATTTCGCTTAGTTTTAGAAATAAGACGTTTTTTTGACGAAACATGCACTTTTTAAAAGTTTATTACACAAAAACTAAGACAGCTAAAACATTTTTTTTCTTTCTTCTGCTAAGAAGAAAGTACAAAATTAAAAATTTAGCAATTTTTTAGTGTTTTGCATTTGTAAAGATTAATAAATTGAGAAGTTTGTTAAAAGTTAAATAACTTTAAAAAGTTTAATGGAACACCTCTATTTTTTTATTTTTGTGATAAATTGGCTATCTAAAAAAATTAACTTTTAATGTCTGGAATTGATAAATGAAAAAATATTTAACACGTAAAATAAAGRATAATGGATTCAGTTTAATACAAATGTGATTATTAAGTGATATTTCTTCCATCTCTTGTGCAACTGTGCACTTTTTGGCTACTGAAACAAAAGTAATATTTTTTTATGTTTAACTTTAAATATCTTTTTAGTTTTTGATTATAAAAGTAAATAATTTTAGAAAGACAATCTTTTAAATGCAAAAAACAATAAATAGGGTGTTCCATTTAAGTTTTGTAAGTTATTGAACTTTTAACAAACGCCTTCATTTTTGTATCTTTGCAAATGCAACACACTAAAAAAATTTTACAACCTTATAGCTTGTATCTTCTTCTTTGCGGTAGTAAAAAAAATGTCTCTAGATGTCTTAGTTCTTGTGTAATAAATTTTTAAAAAGTGCATGTTTTCGCCAAATAAAACGTCTTATTTTTAAAACTAAGCAAAATCGACCAATAAAAGTTTAGTTTATAAAACATTGTCATAAAAATCTACATCCAAAAACATATGGTGTTTCATTTAAAAAAAACACAAGTTTGTATTGTAACTTATTTTTGAGGCACGCTGTCCGAATAGGGAATCTCCGAAACTAAGAGGTTCAGCCAAAAACGAGTAATACATTCTGGGGCTAATTTTTTGAGAAAATAATATTGGTTAAAACCGCATCCAGCTATCGTCTTTTGTTTTCGACTTATAGACAAGAATTGACATTCCAGCGAAATCTAAAAAAATTTATATCTTCGTTATTATAGAAGAAACAGATTTGAAATGAAGACATTATGCWGGCACTTTTTTACGTAGAATTTAATAATGTGGTTAACAATTTTTTCAGTTGTTTGTTTTGTCGTAATAAAATAAATTTGTATTTTTTTAAATGGGAAACATAGATGATTATGTCATATTCAAAAAGCTTGTTTTTTTTCTTATCTAAAAATATATATTTGTAACAAATTATTATAATACATTTTTAGCAAAAAATTATCTTTGATTTTTGTTCGCAGTTGGCCATGAAAAAATGTTGCAWCTTCAACTAAAAGGATTTAAACTATATTATTCAACCAGTGTCACTAATGAAAGAGTTTTCTAAGTACTAAATAATGAAAAAAATGCAAAATAAATCGTAAATCAACTTATTGGCGACTAATAACATTTCTTTGTTTTKAAATAAGCTAACATTACCATTGCAACTTCTAGTGACACAGAGTGTTGTAAAAAAAGCCGCTTTAATTCTTCAATAAAATATATTTTATATGACACAAAAATGACGATATGACTATTCAAATACCCAAATTCCGTCTATGTGGAACGTTATCCTACCTCCATTAGACCATCAAAAAATGTTTTTTTCTAATTGTGTTGACTGTTGACACATTTGTTTTTCCTATTTTTGGATTTTTTTAAAATATGTAATAATTTTGTTCTGAGGCGCTTGCATATTTGTTCAATACTTCTACCGTATCGTATTTTTTTAATTTTTATAATTTTATCTATTTTTTCATCTATTTTACAGTTCACAAAACTCTTATTGATTATTATTTACACATTTGGAGTGAAATAGTTTTTTCATGGCCAACTATTATCAAACAAAATATATATTTCATTTTTTAAGTATAATTATAAAAAAATATTCTGTTACAAATATATATTTTTTAAATCAGAAAAAAATAAGCTTTTCGAAATTGCCATAGCCGCCTATGATTTTCATTAAAAAAAATACAAGTTTATCTTATTACGCTAAACCAATAACTGAAAAAAATTGTTAACTACATTATTAAGTTCCTCGTTAAAAAGTGGCTTATAATGTCTTTGTTTCAAATCTGTATCTTCTATAATAACAAAGATATGATTTTTTTTAGATTTCGCCAAAATGTCAATTTTTGTCTATAAGTCGAAAACAAAAGACGATAGCGAGATGCGGTTTTAAGCAATATTATTTTCTCAAAAAATGAGCTCCAGAATGTATCACTCGTTTTTGGCTAAACATATTAGTTTCGGAGATTCCCTATTCGGACATCCAAAATGTAGCACCCTGTATAGTTGAAAATAATTTTAGGCGATGAACTAGATTAGTATCTATCAATGTCCTATATATATATTTTTTAATTTTAGCATTCAAAGGTCAGCAATGGTCTTTTTCAACTCGCTGGGACACCCTGTATTATTTTTACTGGTGGTARCTTTACAAATTTTAGTTTCTAAATAAATAATTCACGAGATAATTTCAGGAATATTTCACGTGATTTTTTGAAATTCCTGGCGTTTTTTTGCAAATGTAATTAATTTCGACAGAAAAGAAATATAGTACTTAGAAGTTAATTACGGTTTCAGAGCCAGTAACGTGTCTGGAGAGCGCTCGCCTTTCGATGGTTCCTGCTGTGGTTCTGGCTATCACACCGTCGATTCCACCCCCCTGGGCTCTCCTGAAGAGATGGAAGTGCCCAAGTATCGAGTGGTGATGTTGGGCGATTCGGGKGTCGGGAAAACTGCTCTCGTATCGCAATTTATGACCTCCGAATACATGAACACTTACGACGCAAGTTTGGGTAAGTTGGGATAATGGGGTTGGAAAGAGGGATTAGAGGGCAAAAAACGAAAAAACTTCGTTTCGCATTTTAAAAATATTATAAGAAAAAGAGACAATAAGAAGAGAATCTTGAAATAATTTTTATCCGCAAACGTCACAAAAGTACCCAAGAAAAGTTTTACCTTTCAGCCATGGAGTAAAAAATTTTATTTTTGCGCCCAAGCGTTTTTACTTTTACCATAACATTATTGACATTTATCAATGTTGTTTCTTTCTTCTGTTTTTCACAGGGGTACATTGTAGATCATCACAATTTGACATTTTGCACTACTAACTGCACTAGTTAAATAAATGAACACTTTCGAAAATCTCAACAAAAATTCCGATACTGACGCCTGATCTTTGTTTATAAGTGTTGTTATGATTTCATTACTTGAAAAGCAGCCTGATTATTTTGTTCATTTACTTGTTATTTAAGAATTGCTCTTTACTCCCACTATGTTCGGCAAAATAAACGTTCAGATTAGCCAGATAAACCATCACTTTTACTACTATTAACATAATGTACTTCTAGCCCGTTTTTAATTAAAACGTATCAAGTATGTCGCAAAATTTAGCTAAAAAAGCCAAAAAACATCAAATCAAATCTCAATTATTCCTCAAAATTTTGTCAAAATAAGCCTAAAAACAAATCATGTTGAAACTGACGCAATGTTAGGCTGTTTTAAGCGATTTAGCTTGCTTTTTACAAAAGCAACTCTCTAATTTCGCAAAATTTCATGCAAATATGGTAAAACAATAATAAAATCACACTAAAATTGACTCTATTTTGACTTCTAATAAAAGACTTATCTTGTTTTTGAACAAAAAACTCACTTATTATGCAGTTTCATAAAAATAATAAAATAAATAATTAAAATTTAAATTGTTTTGACCTTTCTTTGAACGATTTACTTCTTTTTTTGACAAAAAACTAATTTTTTACAAAATTTTGTCAAAAATATTCAAGTTATGTCACAATTGGCATAACTGTAGCCCGTTTAACTTGTGATTGATTAAAAAAATTCATAAAAAAATATCTAACAAAACATTAATAAAACTTTCTTCCAACAATTTAGCTTGTATTTGACCGAAAGACTTACTTACATCACAAAATTTTCTAAAATTGAACCTAAAACTAACCAAATTATATCTCTTTTTCAAACTACTTCTTCGTTTTTAAGCGGTTTAGTTCAACAACAATTTAGCTCATTTTTAACAGAAAAACTTACTACTTATATCACAATTTTTTTTTCAGATCAAACCTAAAAAACTCAAATTATATTAAAATTAACATTATTTTGCATGTTTTAGCAATGCAGCTGTTTTTTGACTAAAAAACTTGCTGATTATTTAAAATTTTATAAAATTACCAATTGTGACGTTGCTTTAATCTCTTTTAAACGATTTTGCCCGTTTTTGTCCAAAAAACTTCTTATTACTTTGAAAAATTCATAGAAACATGCCACCCAAAATTCGCCAAATAATATCACATGTGACATTATTTTTGTTTGCTTTTCCTAACAATTTAATTCCTTTTTGGAACAAAGAACTCACTTTTTTGCCAAATTTTGATAAACTAAACTGAATCTACAAATAACCAAATTCAATAAAAAAAATATATATACCTAAAAATCACCGAAACATATTAAAACTAAAATATTTAGAAAATTTAGCCCGTTTTCAACCAAAAATTTGAGTTATTTTGCAAAATTTTATGGGTTTGAATAAGATGATATAGTGGGCATTGGAAAGTGCGATTAAAGAGGAAAAAACGAAAAGGTTTCGTTTTGAATTTAATGAAATAAATCATAAAAAAATTATTWAAAAAAAGCCAACAAGAAGAGAAGCTAGGAATAATTTTTTTTCATAAAACTAAATTTCGCAGCATGGATTTTCGTGTTTTCCCCCGAATTAAGTTCAGTATTTCATGTGAAGTAAATATGGCATCAAATTTGTAGACGTCTCAACAAATAAGAGTCATTTATAACAGGGTATTCCCATTAGACAATGTAGTATGAATTATTTCATGACATATTCACATTTATTTTTGATTATAATTTCCCGGTCGTTTCYCACACGAATTTTCTATTAACTAAAAATAATAATTTAAATAATAAGTCACTTCGGTCCGCTGATTTCCGCAGTTCTTAAAGTCCTCAGGTGGAAATGGGGTGGAAATTCACTCCAATTTGCAAATGAAATGACGGCGCTTTTCTTTCAAGTGGTCGCTTGAAAATTCGCTTACGGAAAATTCTTTTAATGACGGAAAAGACAAAAAGTACCGCTTAAAAAGATTAACAGGCCACTTCTGAAAAAATCCCCAAGTGTTGTGTTCACAATCCTGAAACTAATGCCAGTTGATTATTTCCAGATGACGAGTTCGGAGAGAGAACAGTTTCGGTCCTCCTCGACGGCGAGGAATCAGAGATGATTTTTATAGATCACCCGTCGTCTGAAATGTCGGTGAGTGAAAAATTCTGAAATAAGTCTCTTGACCTTGCACAAAATCCGATTTGTGAGGGGAAAACTAGACGGTTTTTGCGTATGGAGAGTTGAGGGATAAGTGGGGAGTCAGATGCAAGAAAAAACGTTAAACACAGTCGACAAAGGAGCGCAAAATGTGTGATAGACCTTTTGTGGGCCCTCAAGGGAAAACTCGAAATTTTGTAGCGAACTGAAGTTATGTCGGACAAAACCCTCTTAAGAAAGTTTGCGTGGGGAGGACCGACATGGGCGGCTGAAACGAAAAATATGTGTGAGAAAACTAACACATTTTTTATTTTGGAGTCTCCTCAATAATTAAACAAAAATTCTAAAATTCTTTACAAAAAAAATGAAATCGACTAATTTTGGAAGAAAGTCAAATTAAAACAAGAAAAAAGAACCAATAAGAAGGTACATAATTCAGTTTAAGGAAAGAGGTTAAGATCTGCTTGTTTTAGTTAAAAAAGACGATTAAATAAAAATCAATTAAAATAAAAAATATTCTAAAACAATTTTTTAAAATAAAAATTATTTTAGGACACATTTTTGGCAAAGTTTTTATGTTAGTTCTAAACTTTTCAATTATATTTTGCAACAAAATAAAATCAAATATCGGCTATTGACACTGCAAATTATACAAAAACTAAAAACGGAAGGCCATTAAGAAAAACAATGTAAAACTAATTCCAGTTCCAAAACAATTCCACAGAAATTCCAGTAATTTGAAAATCCATCGTAAATTCATTGTTTTCAGATTACTTCCTTCATTTCCAAATTAATTCCTGTAGTTCCAAGTTGATTCCGATAGTTGTAAGCAATTTAACGCAATTTTAAAAGAAAATTGTTTCCAATAATAAAAAAAAGAATTCCAGTAATTACCAAAACTTTTTACTGAAATTCTAGTAATTCTCATCCATTGTTTTTAGATTAATTCCAAAATAAGTTTTGTAATTCCAACTGAATTTCCGGAATTCCAAATTAATTCAGATAGTTCTAAGAAATTCATTCAAAAGAAATTATCTGATTATTTTCTGTCAGTCAATCGTAATGACAAAAAATTTCAAATCGACCAAAAGCATCAAAATTACACTATTTGTTAGTAGAGTTAATTACAGCGACTATTTTTTCACGAATGTGAAACATAGTTTAAACATAGTTTACAAAATAATCACACCCTAGTTAATTTTTTTTATAATTTCAACTAGATTAACACTCATCTTTGTTGCTATTAAAATTTTTACAAAATTAAAAATTAAAAATTTAATTTTTAAAAGTT